ATATATATATATATATATATATATATATATACACATATATACCACCTATTAAAGAAAACTCTAGTTTTCTCTTATTCTCTCTCCCTCTTGATTTTGTTTTTAAAGAATGGACCTCACCATGTGGTTCAGACTAACTGGCCTTTGATTCTTAATACCGTATCTCTCTATACCCCACCACCACCACCACCACCACACACCATGCACCTTCTCAGTGATGGGTTTCTGATGCTCCCTTTACCGTTCTACTTGGGCTTAATTTGACATTTCTTTTTTGTTTGTTTGTTTGTTTGTTTGTTTTTCGAGACAGGGTTTCTCTGTGGCTTTGGAGGCTATCCTGGAACTAGCCCTTGTAGACCAGGCTGGTTTCGAACTCACAGAGATCCACCTGCCTCTGCCTCCCAAGTGCTGGGATTAAAGGCATGCGCCACCAACGCCCGGCTTAATTTGACATTTCTTCAAGAGGCAAAGCAATTCAGGGTTTTAACTTTGTGACTCATTTCTTATTCTAGGCTGCTGTATCTGACCACACTCTCTAAGACTGAAAGTCAATGTGCTGGCATGTTTATTTTAGATGTGAGAAGCCAGTTTGGACAGCCTCAAGGACACTACACAGGAGGAAGAAATGCTAGTCATGGACAAGTGTTCCAGTATGGACTTATGAAAAAGTCGTGCTTCAGAACCTTGTTACAAAATATAAAAACGTCCTATTTTTCTGCCTTCAGTGTAGTAACAGCGCAACACCATTAAGAACATCTTACGACTGACCACTCAGGTCTTCAATGTGTGCCCTTAATTTTTAAAAAAAGAATGGTGATGTATGTATGTGTGCACCTAAGTGTGTGCATGTCGAGCACATGCATGAAGTAGGTGCTTTGAGATGGCCAGAAGAGGGCATGGGATCCCCTGGAAGTGGAGTTGTAGGAGGTTGTGAGCCACCTGATGTGAGTGCTAGAGACTGAACCCTCGTCCTCTGCCAGAGCCATCCCTGCAGCCCCTAAACGTGATTTCTCTCCATTATCTGAACTAAAAGATGGTTGTTGGTGAGTATGTACTCACACAGAAACTCCTGGCCAATTGAGCTGCCCTCCTCCCCACTTCTACCCTCTCCCCCAATCCTCTTCCACAGAGCCTCGGGGCTGCAAGCGGCCCCGCCCCGCCCCCTGGTTGGCTGCTGGGTGGGAGGCTCGTTCCTTCGCTCCCATTGGCCGCTCAGGGAGGTGCGTCTCGCGTCTCGGGATTGGTCACTTGGAGGAGGCGTCTCTCCCAGCTGGGCGGCTGGTGGCTATTTCCGGAGTAAGATGGCTGCAACGCGTGTACTGGGGACCTGGAGCCGGAATGCTGTCAGACTGGTAAGCAGGATTGAGCGGGTCTGAGGTTGAGAAGGAGTGATTTAGTTAGGTGTCACCTGGAGTGGTGCGTTGCTTCCTTCTTCGAGTGCCACGCATCCTATGAGTAAGCGATGGAAAGATGCATGCAGACAGAAGGGCAGCGAAGGTGGAGCGCCAGCCAAGCTGGAAACAACTCCCTGTTCCTACCTGGGCGCGCTCCTGTGGCGATTAACGTTCCTCCCAGCGGTTCCACGTCCCTGCCTTTCGCCTGCTTTACTTTTGCTTGAGCACCTTGATTCCAGCCAGGCATTGTCATAGGCGCTGCAAACACAGAGCGACATTCTTTCGGGATTTGTTGTGTACCCACCACGCGCCAGACGCGGACACTGTTAACCTGACCTGAGGCAATTTTCCGTGGGGGAGGAAGAGAAGAGAAAAGGAAAACTGTACCCTCCAGCTTGAGAGTCACTCGGAGCTCCGCTTCTCTCCTTGGTCCACACCACACAGCGTTCCAACTTCTTATCATCAATTTACCATCTCCACTTGCCTGCAGTTCCCCCCTCACTCACATGCTTTTAGCAACCATGGTGGATGTATCTATCCCATTAAGCATTCGGTTTCTTCCTCATTATATAACTTCTTGGATACTGACTTTTCCCATTCCCCTAGATGTTCCTGCAACGGTGGCCTTCTGATCCCACAAAACCTTTTCCCAGCCTGCTGTGTGTCCTGGGCACTGGGGATATAAATATAACACAGAAGACACCATCCCTTTCCTCCTGAGACTGTAATGTAGTGGATGAGAGCAGGGCAGAGGGAGGCTAGGAAAGACCAAAAACCACGGCTTTAGAATCCATCGGAGAAGTGCTCTCATGGAACAGTGCTCAGAGCTACTGTGGCACATGCAGGCGACCCCTGTGGAGGACTGGGGCTCAGAGAGGAATTCCTGGAGGGCAGCGAGTAAGGAGAGTGGGAAGGGGGAGTAGCAGGTAACCAGCTGACTCCTGTCAGCAGCACCTTACTAGGTATTATTGGTGGCCCTTCTTTTGAGAGCTCTCCATTCCTTGCTTGTGAGACACCCGCTCCCCAATGTTATTGTTCCTACATTTTTTGCTTCGTTGTTCCACTGTCCTCTTTCTCCAGCTTCTAAATACTGTGTTAAATACAGTTATACACTGCACAAAGACTTTTCAGTCAGCAGTGGTCCCAGAAGATTACGACAGATCCGAACACTTCCTATGACCTTTTACGTGTTTTTATATGTGTAGATACACAGACAGTTACAGTTGTCTATGGTGTTTAGTACAGTAACGTGCTGTACAGGTTTGTGGCATAAGAGCTAGCCTATAGCTTAGGTGGGTAATAAGCTAAGCCATTCGGTTTGTGTAAGCATCATCAAATGATGTAGTTCTCACAGTCCTGTCATTAAGTGATGTGTGCCCACTTCCTTATTTCCTTTCTAAATATGGCTGCTGCACTTTTCCTACTTACTGCACTCTCTCTCCCTCTCCTTTGGATGTAGTCACCAGCTGTGCTAATGCTTCCCTGATGTTTCTTAGTCTCCCAAATGGGTCCACAGAAGGCTCATGTATTCTGCCGTTCAAGAGATCTGCAATTGCATGCTATAAGGTGTTTTTCAATTACAAGTAACACAAGTCCAATGAATGACAGGACATCATCTATGCATACAGATGACAGCTGACATACGTGACAGTCATCATCAAGGCTTTTGACCTTTTCCTATATGGCCATAAGGGAACTGCAATAACTCAGTCAGTGTTTAAGGCTGGAAGGAGGAAGGAATACTTCCAGGCTAACTTAACCAGCTAGAACAGCGTTACGTGGCTACTGCTAGCACAAGGAGCCTGGAAAAGCTAGCCCTCAGCCATCTCACAGTGTGCCATAATGCCTCAGGGATGCAGACTCTGGGCTCCAGGATAGAACTCTCAAACCTGTTTCTCTTGATTCTAGCTTCTAACTCTGAAGAAATCTAGCCACTGTTCACCACATCACTCTTAATTGAGGTGTCTTAGTCTTTCCTAATTGGGCCACTTGCTTCTGATCTGCCCCTTTTGTAGTTTATTACCCATAGGTTAGCCATGATGATCTTATAAAGTAAGGCACACATTAGCTCATGCCGTGTTCTTGCTTAAGACAACTCTTTTTTAGAAATGCTCACGAGCCACATGACCTAGGAAATTTATGCTCTGGCTTCTTCAACATGTCAGTCTTCATTCTTTATTAAAAACTTGCTCATTCTATACTTGATTATTCTCTTACCCACCCTCTTTCAATTTCCTTTTCTACATCCTTAATTGTTCCTCTTCTACTTTTGTGCCCCCATTTGTTGTTGTTGTTTTATTTTGTTTTACAAGATTGGGTTTCTGTGGCTGTCCTGGAACTTGCTTTGTAGACCAAGCTGGCTTCAAACTCAGACATCTGCCTGCCTCTGCCTCCCAAGTGCTGGGATTAAAGGCGTGCACCACTACCACCCTGCTTATGAGACAACATTCTTTATTTGCCTTTGTGTTTATAGTTTATTTCACTTGATATGATTGCCAGTACCACCCATTTTCTTGAAAATAATATATTTTTTATTCTATCACTTTACTGGGCATTGATTATAAACATCAATGAAATAAGATTAGAGTAAAAAAAAAAAGTAAACACTTTTCACACACAAACACACATTACTCATTGCAGCCCCAACTCTGACTGTGCTCACTTGTCGCACACTAAATTGCCAGAGAACTCTGTGAAACAACTAGCTGAGCACACACTGTGCTCTCTTGATTCCAGACCTTTGCTCATACATTTCCTTGGCCCTGAAGACTCTTGCCTCATCTGCAGCACCTCTCATCTCCTGGGTTACTCCCACTCAATCTGCAGTCTTACTTCAGGTTAACTCTCTCCAGAGGCTCCCTTAGCAGTCCCTGTTGTAGCAGTGTTAATGGCCTGTGTGCTTCACTGCATTTTTCATTCTACTAGTGTCTTAGAGGTTTCTATTGCTGTGAAGAGACACCATGACCATAGCAGCACTTATAAAGAAAACATTTATTTGGTGGTGGCTTGCTTACAGTTTCAGAGGTTCAGTCCATTATCATCAAGATGGGAAGCATAGCAGCATGCAGGCAGACATGGTGCTACTGGAGTAGCTGAGAATCCTACATCTTGCAGGCAACAGGAAGTCGACTGATTTACTGGGTGGTATCCTGAGCACGGGAAACCTCAAAGCCTGCCCCCACAGTGACACACTTCCTCCAACAAGGTCATACCCACTCCAGCAGAGCCACACCTTCCAATAGTGCTAGTCCCTGTGAGATTATGGGGGACAATTATAGTCAAACTACCACAATTAAACACAACATATGGGCAGGAATTGCATGTGTTTCCTTCTATATGTAACCCTGAATTCTGCACACTGTGAGAGCACATAAATATTTGTGAAATGACTCAGTAAAAGACGATTTTGTTTTGCTTTTTGTTTGTTTGTTTTTGTTTTGTTTTGTTTTGCTTCAAGATAGAGTTTCTCTGTGTAACAGCCTTGGCTGTCATGGAACTCTTTCTGGAGGCTAGGCTGACTTCAAACTCTCAGAGATTTACCTGCGCTTGCCTCCGGAGTGCTGAGATTAAAGGTGTGTGCTACCACTCTCAGCACTTGATTTTTGCTTTTTTTTTTTAAATCTTGTACAAACATTTTTTAAAGGAAGAGGGCTCAGCGCCTGTGATAAATTTATCATATGCAAGGGGTTTCCTGTTTGACTAGGAGTCACACATTTGATTCCTAATTTAGTCAACTATGCTCCATTGAATTTATTTATTTGTCGTGTGTATGGAGGGGAACACACAAGTATCATGATACAAGCCAGGCAGTGGTGACACACGCCTTTAATCCCAGGCAGAGGCAGCTGGATCCCTGTGAGTTTGAGGCCAGCCTGTTCTACAGAGCGAGTACCATGATAGGCTCCAAAGCTACACAGAGAAACCCTGTCTCAAAAAAACAAAAAAACAAAAAAAAAAAATTCATGATACACATGTGAAAATTACAGGTCAACTTAAAGGAGTCAGTTTTCTTATTCCACTATTTGGGATCTGGGGATCAAACTCATGTCCTCAGGCTTGGCAGCAAGAGCCTTTACTCACTGAACCATCCTACTGGCCCCTGTGTTATATTTTTAAATGATATTTGCCTTCCTGTTCAAAAGACTAAGTAATTTGAACTTACTTATTTACTTCTTTTTTTTTTTTTAAGATTTATTTATTTATTTATTTATCATGTATACAGTGCAGGCCAGAAGAGGGCACCAGATCAGATGAGTGTGAGCCACCATGTGGTTGCTGGGAATTGAACTCAGAACCTCAGGAAGAACAGTCAGTGCTCTTAACCCCTGAGCCATCTCTCCAGCCCCATTTATTTACTTCTTTATTGTGTTAGTCAGCTAAAATTTTTCACCTCCATCTTTTTTTTCTGGTTATAGACATTAAATTATCAATACAATAAATCGCTAGATATAAATTGGAATTATCTCAGGCATATTGGGCCAGTTAATCTCAACGGAATTGTGTCTGTTAACTATTGTTCATGATTCAGTAAAAGAAGTTTTTGTTTTGCTTTTTATTTTCTGCATAAGTTTGTAAGGGGGGAGAGCTTGATGCCTGAGATAAATTATATGCATGGGGTCTTTGTGTGTCCGTTTCCTGCTTCTCTAGGAGTCAGACATTGGTGTCTCAAATATAAAGCTCTGCCAGTTTGTCCTTTAAAATCTGAGGCTTCTCTGGACCTGGTGGCACATGCTTTTAGTCCCAGAGTTGAGAGGCAGTAGCAGAGCTCTGTGAGTGAGGACAGCCTGGCTGACGCAGGGAGTTCCAGCCCCCCAAGGCTATGTAATATCTCAAGAAAAAAAAAAGGAGTGGTAGTTTTATTCACTGGTTTTGTTTTGTTTTGTTTTGTTTTGCTTCAAGATAGAGTTTCTCTGTGTAACAGCCTTGGCTGTCATGGAACTCTTTCTGGAGGCTAGGATGGCTTCAGATTCTCAGAGATTCACCTGCTTTTGCCTCCTGAGTGCTGAGATTAAAGGTGTTTGCTCCCCCTCTCAGCCCTTGTTTTTTGTTTTTTTTTTTTTTTACATCTTATACAAACATTTTTAAAGGAAGAGGGCTCAGCGCCTGTGATAAATTAATCATATCCAAGGGGTTTCCTGTTTGACTAGGAGTTACACATTTGGTTCCTAATTTAGTCAACTATGCTCCATTGAATTTATTTATTTGTTAAGTGTCCTTCTGCTCTTCATTATTCAAATTTATTGTGTAAAGCCCAGTTTAAATCTTCTTCAAGGTCAAGCTAATTCTCCCTCACTTCTCTTTTGGTGTATGGAGGGGAACACACAAGTATCATGATACAAGCCAGGCAGTGGTGGCACACGCCTTTAATCCCAGGCAGAGGCAGTTGGATCTCTGTGAGTTTGAGGCCTGCCTTGGGCACCAAAGGCCAGTCTCTTCCAATCACTTTGTACTGTTTGGAGGAAAATAGTCCCTATCTTCCTGTTCTTAACTAGTATGATTCTATAGAGGAAATGCCTCCTCAGGTTTAAAAATTCATTTTTCCTCCTTTCTATTGCCTTTTAATCTCTTCACTTTTGCTCATTTTTAATTTCCCCCCTCTTTCTCTTCAAAGTCATCCAGTGGCTGCTAATCACATATTGCCCATTGCAAATCAGTTACCTTTTCTCTGTCCTTGTGGATCAGATTCAGGAGCCCGTGTTTCATGTGTCAACTACTACAGTCAGACTTGCCCTTTCTCTCTGGACTTTACCTCTAGTAACCTATCCTATGAGCTAAGTAGACTGTGTCCTAACCCTGTCCTAACCCCCCAAAAGCATAAATTCCCACTCCTCATCCTGTCATTCACAGACATGAGCAGCCATCTTGAGTAGTCACTGCTTTCCTTGACAAAGCTGATCAAGCCACGCCCTGCTCCTGCAGCTGTGTTAATCACATTCTTGCTATGTTTACATCACTTCCTGTGCCTTGGAAGTGTCCTTCTGCTCTTCATTATTCAAATTTATTGTGTAAAGCCCAGTTTAAATCTTCTTTAAGGTCAAGCTAATTCTCCCTCACTTCTCTTTTGTTTTGGGTT